TTTTAAATTCCAAAGAAACGTGAGCAGCTTTACCAAGACCCCTTTTCCCCCTTATATAGAGTCCCTCATTCCACGTTGCGGTTCTAGCTGTCTACAATGTAGATGATTGCCATTCTTAGCTACCGAGAGGAGTTTGATTGCCTAGCTGGTTACTAAGGCTGCTTATATTAGTTAAGGACCCGGAAATTCACCCCAATATTTGTATAGGTAGGAGCCTAATCTGAGCAAGCGCTCATCCCATCATTGAAATAGAGACAACGATCAATCATCTTTCCCCGCAATGAGCGTTTTGATCCCTTTGCCAGCCTTCACTTCCAGAAACGCCTGCTCGGCATCCGCGAATGCCACCACTTTCGTCACTAGCTCCTTGACGCTGATCTTCCCAGAGCCAACCAGATCCAGAGCGAGTTTATAATCGCCGCTGCTATATCTAAAGCTGCCTCTCATGTTCAACTCCTTTGTGCACGCCGCCATGATAGGAAAGCTGATCTCGTCTCGCCCCATGCCGCCTTGGACATACGTTCCGCCCGGCCGTGCAACATGGATGCCAGTATGGACGGATTGTTCAGCGCCTGACGCATCGATGACCACATCCGCACCACGGCCGAGCCCATGCTCTGACCGTAGCTTCTCTGCGTTTTCCTTTGCCGGGATCCTTTGAGGTAGAAACACCCCTGTGGCGGCATACTTCTTTGCAAATTCCAGCCTTTCTTCCTGGATGTCAACAGAGACGACCTTGGCTGCTCCAAACGCCCTTGAAGCTGCGCAGCATAGCAATCCGACTGGGCCAGCACCAAATACCACAACTGTATCGCCGGGTTTAACCTCTGCCTGGCGAGTGATGTGGACAGCAACTCCGAGTGGTTCCATCAACGCACCGTCTTTCAGATCCATGGTATCAGGTAGCTTGTAGCAAAAATCTTCTGGCAAAACATAATACTTTGCAAGAGTTCCATCGTACGGGGGAGTGGCGGCAAATACCATGTCGACACATAAGTTGTATTTCCCGTTCTTGCAGGGCTCGCATCGCCGGCAGCATATGCCAGGCTCCAAGGCCACTCTATCACCTACTTTAAGAGACTGGACGGCAGAGCCTATCTCCGCGACTATGCCGCTGGACTCATGACCGAGTACCATCGGTTCCTTCAGCACAAACGGGCCAATAGACCCATGGTCCCAGTAATGAACCTAGCAGATACCACGTATATCAGTAACGGCGTTTGGTGGCAAGTAGCAGCAGTATTAATTGGCGCATTTATAGATAGGTATGTAGTTACTTCACATCCTAAGGCATACGTAGAAAGGAAATGCCGGTCATACTCACATCACTGCCACAAATTCCCGTATACTTCACGGTAATTAGGACTTCATGAGCATCTTTCAATGCTGGTACTGGTCGGTCTTCAAACCTGACCTTCCTTACCCCGTCTAGCACAAATGAAAGATTCTAGAAGAAAGGGCCTGTTAACTAATCGTGTATTTGTTCTGGATTAACTAGTTAATCATGGCTAACCCCTCCGCCAGGATTGCTTACCTTTGGGCCATCCGCTGCCATTCTGGGGGGTTGTAACTGGTGCTCAGCAGTCTTTTGGGCAAGTATGTAACTAGTTACTAGTTAAATAGTTGGTTATAGCCTGCAGGGAAATTTAACTATATATATATATATAGCTGACACTGCTGGCATGTGGGAGTAGTAAGTAAGTGTCAACAGTCAACTATCCAATAATCCGAATGACCAGACAGATCATTAACCAGCTGGTGGACCAGGTAACAGCTGGAAGCTCTTGGTGTGATATAAATGCCATCATCATCAAAACTCTGACGTGGAGAATTGCCGGGGCTTGGGCCGAATCTGCTGACTCCGGCAGATGTAGATCCGGCTCAAAGGCCGCAGCTCGGGATGTCTAGGCTCTCTTGAAAAGTTATTACCCCTGCGAAGGTAGTTAAGAGATACATATTCTTAAATAACGGTATTCTTCAACCGGAGCTATGTTCGGAAGAATGGTCACATATGCTAGCAGTTCACATTCTAGCTAGTCTGGTTACGATAGTCAGGTAACTAATGAAACAACAAACTGCATGTCAACCAACTAGCTAGTTAACTAGGGCAGTCGGTTGAAGTAGAAATTATAATTATGCCTTAACTCACCCCGAAGCTCGTGCAAACCATACCCGTTGCTAGAAGAAAGGTAATCAATAAATGAAACGTACGCGAAAATCACTCCAGATACCGCAAAGTAAGATCGTCTACATTCCCGCTCTTTAACCCATGAATACCAATTGAGAGAGTCTCTCCGGGAACGAGGTCTACACAATTGTCATCAAAGACCACGTCCTCTGAATTCGAAAAGACAGCGAGCCCTTTCACTGGAACTTCCGCAGATAATCGAAGAAGACGCTTGTCTTCGGAAAGCGCTATCTTCGGTGTGCGTGGAACTTGGAAATCAATATATTTCAGAGGCTCTGGCCAGTTGACATAACGAGCAACTTGCCGACCATTCCGGATGAGATATGCAGCAACCACTGTTTGGGATGGCTTCCCCGAGCCTTGTACTGCTTCTTGGATTTCCAACTTCCCTAGTTCTATAGTTCGGTTCGCGGGAAATGCAGTTCCTTCTTTAATATTCTCTAAGTGTGTCTGTTGCCCACTGACGATATCCCAGGCTCGGAGCTGTACTTTTCCAGTAAAAGGTTGTAAGGTGAGGTTAGTCACCCATATTTCGACTGTAAAAGAAGCTGATCCGATACCCTCAAGTGAAGCCTGCTGGATAGACCGTTTTATCCCAACAGTAATGGGGGCCAGTTCTCTTTTAATAGCAAAGTACGCATGCTTTGGGCGTAGGTTATAATCAGCGATTGACCATGAGATCACTGGCCAGCAATCATTGAGCTGCCATACTAGAACTCCAGCGCAATTTTCCTTTCCTGGGCCTTGCCATTGACGCTTCCATAGGCGGTAAGCGGTTGACACACATTCTGCCTGCATTACTTGCGTGCAATGTAGATATTGCTCCAACGGACTAACCTGGTACCGAATATTTTCGACCAGATATGTAGCCAAGCGCCTTTCGTGGCCAACAGCCTTGTTATGATAGTCTAGAGTAAAAGAATTTGGGTATCTATCCTTGTCGTTGATACCCATTGAAAGCATGCTATCAATGGTACCTATGCTCGGGAGACCTTGCATGCCAAACTCAGACACAAAGCGACCGCTCAGCTTATCAAAGTCTTGATACCTTTCCTGTGTCCCGTGCCAGACTATTTAGTAGTGAAAGTAGAGTTAGCAAAACCTCAAGCTAGTTGGTACCCTAACTTCACATACCATTCCATTGATGAATGTCTCCAATAGTTGGGTCACTGCTGGTCTTTCCACCATAAGGGGAGCCAAAGTGATAATACGTATCGGGCGTAAGTTGCTTTGTCACATCCACTAAAAGTTTCTCATAAATATAGCGGGCAGGGAAATTAGTCTTCAGCCAGTTGCAGGGATCAGTATCAGAAGGATCATATTGCAGTTTTTCACTCTCCCTGTAGGCATAGTCTTCGTTATTACCAGCCCAAATAACAATAGACGGGTGGTGCCTCAGTCTTTTGACATTAGCCTCTGCCTCCTTTTCAACTGACTGCAGAAACTCTCTGTGGGCAGGATAGTTTCCACACGCAAACATGAAATCTTGCCAGACAAGTAGTCCGTATTCATCACATGCTTCATAAAATGCATCTTGCTCATAAATACCGCCACCCCAGACGCGAAGCATGGTCTGATTTCCATCAACTGCCATCTTGAGCCAGTCACCGTATCGTTGTGACGATACACGGGGGATAAAGCTATCAGCAGGGATCCAATTACTTCCCCCACAGAATATTGAGGTATCGTTTATTCGAAAGAGAAAAGTGGTTCCTTGGCTTCCTTCAAGGTTTCGTTGTACTAATTCAACTTTTCGCAGCCCAATCCTTTTGCAGCAAAAATCGAGGGTTTGATCCTTTCTCATCAGTTTGGCTTGCAACGAGTACAAAGGTTGGCTGCCATATCTTGCAGGATACCAAAGTTGCGGGTTTTTCAAATGTATAGTTGCCGCCGCCTTTCCGTCCTTCACTGAGGCAGATACGACAAATTGGTTTCCAGAGTCTTGCTTTTGGGTATCGAGTGATAGGCTGAAGACCACATCAGATGCATATCCTTCCACCTCAGCAGTGATTGATATTTCAGCTTCTTTCAGACTGCTCTTGAATTTGGTGGTGTAGTAGAGGTCTGCAATACGGGCAGAGTATACCTCAAGGGTAATTGGGCGCCATGGACCACATGTTAATAAGACAGGGCCCCAATCCCAACCCTACATATTTCTCAGAAGCGCACACGCAAAGGGTCAATCATGTTGACGTAAACATAATATATAGTGGCACTTACATAGTGATATTGTGCCTTTCGCACAGCAAGGCGACTCGGGTCTCCGTTCCAGCACCCCCACTGGTGCGTCGGATGCTTTTTTTGTTCCTCCTTACCTCTAATAAAAGCACTATCGAAAGTAATCTCAAGGACATTGCTTTCATCATTCGATCCACGGAGCAGCGAAGTAATGTCCACTCTCTCGGGAATGAACATGTTGTCGGTTTCGAGAATTTCTTTCCCGTTAAGATGAACGGACGCGTAGGTGTCGAGTCCATCGAATGCAAGAACGGCCTTCTCATTCTCCCCTAGCTGAGGGGCGACAAAGGCAGTTCTGTATACCCAGGCCTTTTCGCCAACCCACTGAGCCTGTTTCTCAGCGGTACCAGTGAAAGGATCTGGGATGATTCCATGGTGAATAAGGTCCAGATGGATGCAGGTAGGGAACTGCGAGACGGGAAGAAACTTGGAGGTATTCACGCATGCTTCCCTGAAGGTCCACGACTTGTCTATCGGGGAAAGTCTTCGTTGGCCCATGGCGTCTTTGATTTCTTGTGGAGGAGAAGATTGGAGATGCTGATGTTGCTCGTAGACGACGAGTGTGGAATATAGCTGGTTGGGCACTCTGATATCTAACTACCGCTCCATGTGGGAGTGGTCTCCGCTAGAGATCACCAGCCACTGGTAAAATAGCCCAGTCTGTCAGTCTCTGATTCGTGTATGACCTGTTCAAGGATGCAGCTCGTCCACCCCGCTGGACGGGAATGGAATAATCGGGAGGCTGTCTCCGTCAAGCTTCCCTGGTGACGTCGTAAAGGTCAGCTGACGGTCTATTTCTCCCAACTTTGCCATCCAAGGAATGCCAGGCTGTAATCTACCCCTAGGTCCAAATGCAGCCGTTCTATCTATATAGTTGGTGGTTTTATAGTCCACCCTCGATACTTTTTGAGGGTCAAGTTAGTTGACGAGGCAGTTAAACTCGTGAACTAACTCGTTAGTTAAAGTTAGCGTGGCCAGATGCCTTAGCTTCAAACGGTAGAAACCGAGCGCCGCTTTAAACCCTCCAAATAACTAGTTAGTTAGTTAGTCAACTAGTGATTGAGCTTCGAAGACCAAAAAAAAAAAAACGACGGAACGCAACACGATATAGCGATAAATACACCTTCCATACGCTTAAGGGCTTCAGGGGAGCTTCATATTCCCCAAGTTACGGCCCAGAGATGTTTGGCTCCCGAGTTATATCGTCGAACACTGCGCTCTTCGCCGCTCGGAGGCAGCAGGGACTTGCAGTCAACCGGTCCAGCTGGCACCGTCAATCGGTTCGCGGCATAAAAAGACAGCCAGCCAGAAACTTCGGGGGCTCTGCAAGATGTGAGCAAGAAGGAAAGAAGAGACAGGACTCCTTCAAGGGCCAATTGTATGAAAGTACGCAGCAACGACTGGACCGAGAACGGGCAGAGCTGCAACGTTTTGCGCGGATGCAAAAGCAATCTCCCCATATCCAATATACAGCAATGACCATCAGTAAGGCAGAGCTATTTTCCTACCGAGTCGCGTGGCTAAGCGCAATTGATTGGTACTTTCCGAACTGAGTCACTAATATGAATTGAATTTTCCACTGTCTAGCTGTTATTGTTACGGCTCTCGGCTGCTACTTTCTCGGTACTCTAAAGCCAGCAGAGCTTCCGGCATCCTCTACTACGCCTCTTATCGACGCCCAGCCACCCCAGCATAACGTTTCGCCCTCAAATCTACAAGCTGCTTGGGCCGATTTTGTCGAAATTGTAGGCAGAGAAAACGTGTCGACTGAACAGGGTGATCTAGATGAACATTCAGGGTCTGCATGGTCATCATACAGTGTGAGAGAAAATGAAAGGTCATTTCTTGTTGTCTTCCCTTCAACAACCGAGGAAGTTTCCCGTATCATGAAAGTCTGTCACGTCAGACTTATCCCAGTCACACCGTACTCTGGTGGAACTAGCTTGGAAGGCCACTTTTCCCCGACACCGGGAGGCGTTTGTATCGATTTCTCACGCATGAACAAGATAGTGACCCTACATAAAGATGATTTGGATGTGATTGTCCAGCCAGCCGTTGGATGGGAAGATCTGAATGAAGAGCTGGCGAGGGATGGCCTATATTTTCCAGTTGATCCCGGCCCAGGAGCCATGATTGGTGGAATGGTTGGAACGGGCTGCTCAGGGACCAATGCCTACAGATATGGGACAATGAGAGAGTGGGTTGTCTCTCTGACAATAGTGCTTGCGGATGGAACAATCATTAAGACAAGGCAGCGGCCCCGGAAGTCCAGTGCAGGATACGACCTTACGAAGCTCTTCATCGGCAGTGAAGGCACGCTGGGCTTGGTTACAGAAGCAACCTTGAAGGTAACAGTCAAGCCAAAAAATGAAAGTGTAGCCGTTGCGTCTTTTCCGTCAATCCATCGGGCTGCCGAATGTGTAGCAAAGATCGTCGGGGAGGGCGTGGAACTTGCCGGCCTTGAAATATTGGACGATGTCCAAATGAAATGTATCAATGACAGCAAAACCACACGTCGCACTTGGAGTGAAGCACCTACTCTGTTCCTGAAGTTTACAGGAACAGAAACCGGTATTAAGGAGCAGATAAACATCGTCCAGAGCCTGGCTAAAAGTGCCGAAAGCCAGTCGTTCGAGTTCGCTCGCGGGAAAGATGAGATGGCCGAGCTATGGAGTGCCCGAAAGGCGGCTTTGTGGAGTGTTATGGCAAAGAAGCGGGAAAATGACCGAGTCTGGACCACGGATGTAGCTGTGCCTATCAGCAAACTCCCTGATATTATCGAGCAGACCAAGAAAGATATTGTGGACAACGGCCTCTTGGCTGGGATCTGTGGCCATGTCGGGGATGGCAACTTTCACGGTAAGTACCACAGTCAGGCCTCGTCGTGTTTGTTCTGATCTAACACGGTATATCTTAGCCATCCTGCTTTTCAACGACAGTGAGCGTGCTATCGCCGAAGGAATTGTTCACCGCATGGTGAAGCGAGCTATCGAGATGGAGGGCACGGTCAGTGGTGAGCATGGTGTTGGACTTGTCAAGCGAGACTATCTCGACCACGAACTCGGTGAATCAACCGTGGATACAATGAGAAAGGTGAGGATGGCCCATGTCCAATTCCTATTTCCCACTACTTGCTAACCTAATATATAAACCAATAGATAAAACAAGCCCTAGACCCTCTTGGACTTCTTAACTGCAACAAAGTCGTTCGGGTAGAGCTGCCAGGGCATGGAGACGCAAAGAGCTGATAAAATTGGTAGCATGTACCCCTTTTGAGACCCCGATATGTATGAATAGAACTACTTTTGCACTAGTCACAGTCTTGCAGCAACGAATTGTAGCCACATAAGAGTCTGCGAGCCAGTGACAGACAGCTCTAGCCTTGTCGATAGCAACTTAGCTCACCCGACTAGCTAGGTATCTAGCTGAATGCCCGTTGGATAACTATCGGCCCCGACCTGCCGCCAGCCCTCTTTAGGACTCCGCGCCCGACACCGTCTGACTCACAGACTTCGATGCGGCTCAACACCACGTGTATAAAGGAACGACAACATTCCAACATCTTGAGTGAGCACGACCAACACGCCCTCATCGGTGCAGACATTCATGCATCGACCTGCCTGCCTGTCTCTCTATAATCCATACATCCTTTTGGTTGCCCTTCTGCTTGACGTGCTTTCGGCTTAGTTAAATAAGATTTGTCCATCACCTCGGCAGCCAAAATGGAGGGGCAGAAAACCAAGACAACGTCCATGGACTCCAGCTTCCCAGTCTTGTTGCCTGAGGACCCTACCCTTCATCTGGAGCCTGCGGAGTTCAGAAAGCGAATTTTTGCTTCTGTTGCAAAGGAGGCCAAGGGGAAAGAGAATTCAAAAACAACCGACTCTAATTCAGCCCTTTTTGCGCAGACGGTGCCGAAGGCTACCGAGGCTATTTCCGCTGCTCAGTCCAGCCACGACTCCAGCGGAAACGCCTTTGTGGACGCTCTTGTCCAAGAAGCCAGAAATCCTGGAACTCAAAAGGTTTCACTCGAAGAGCTAGAGGCAAAAAATTTGGCTCACACGGACAATGCTGGCGTTACCCACGCTTCTACAGAATCGCACTTGGTCGATCTGTTCCATACCCTAGACGGGGAGCCAAATGAGGAGAAGCTGGCCATTCTAGAGCCTCTACTGGAGAAGGCATGGGCAGATGATGCCTTGGTTACTCTAAAGATTATTTGGAACTGTCGTAGCATCCATCTGGGCAAGGGGGAACGATCGATGTTCTACGTCGCCCTTGGCTGGTTGAAAAATAACCACCCGCAGACTCTTTTGACTAACTTACCCTGGATTACCCGCGGTGTCATCGAGAAAGTACCTCAAAAGGAGAGCAAAGAGAATTAGACCCCAGTGGTTATTGAGAACCAAACGCTCGGAGTCGATGACTATGAGGTTGTCCATGGTGTCTCACATGGCTATTGGAAGGACCTTCTCAACCTTCTGGCACTATCCGCTAATGATCAACTCGGAATGAAAAACCCCGAATCAGTTTTGAAGAATCGAACCAAAGCTCCTCAAGAAACCCTGGAAAAGCTCGATATAGAACTGCCATTAAGAGCGAAAAAGATTAAGGTCTCGGCTATGGATGTCAATGAGAAACGCGCCTATTTAGAAATTCCGCGAGAGGACAGAATGAAAGAAACCCATAAGATCATCTCAGTGCAGAGAGAAGCCTCGAAAAAGAGAAAACGCGCCCGGGAAACAAGTCATCATGAGAAGCTTTGGAAGAAATTTGAGAGTGATTCGTTCCATCGAGCTCTACACAATACTATTGCTCGCATGTTTGCGGACCAGCTCAGGAAGGATAAAATACTCCTGGAAGGGGGATCAAAGCAGCAGATGAAGGAGATCAGCCTCTGCGCCAAATGGGCACCATCTCTTGAGCGATTCCATGATAAACAAACCTTAATTGCAACGACTATTGCCGAGCTTTTGTTCCCTGCTGAGGATATCAAGAAAGAAGGTGATACCAGGGAGACATATCTGAAAAGGGCACGAGAACAATACAGAGCCTCCTTCCTGTCCCCTCTACGGAAAGCACTTCAAGTGGTTGAGCGTGACATATCGGCAAACAATTTCACGAACCTCAAGTATGCTCAAGTGCCGTCCCTTGCCATGGACCTATATAAGAAACTCTTCGCAAAGAAAGACCATGACAATTTTTTGAAGTATTTGCTTGACGTTCAGGCTGGCAAACAAACTATATCAGGAAGTGTTCTCATGCCTGGGCCATTGGTTCACCAATGGATCCACTCTCGAAACGATGAAATTGCCAGGCTAACTCTGAATTCTCAATGGGAAACACTCATTCAGCGCATAAAGGATAGCGGCTCATTATCCGATTCTATTGCTGTTTGTGATGTCAGCGGCTCGATGATGAGCTTACCTGTGAATGGCGCTACCATGTATGAAAATGCCATAGGACTGAGCCTTGTCCTCTCAACTGTGACAAAGGCACCATTCGGGGGCAAGATGATCACCTTTTCAGAAAGCCCGCGTATCGTGACGATAAACAAGGATGGGAACAAGAGCTCCTTTGTGGAACAGGTTGACAAGGTGCAGAATATGCCAGCGGGTTTTAATACAGACTTCCTCGCCGTATTCACGAAAGCTATCCTTCCGCTTGCCATCAAGAACGAAGTCAAACCTGAGGATATGGTTAAACGGGTTTTTGTTTTCAGTGACATGCAGTTTGATGAGGCGCGAGGTAACAGTGACCCATGGGCAACACATTATCAAATTATTGAAAAAGAGTATAAGGCGGCAGGATACGAAGTGCCAGAGTTAATTTTCTGGGACCTCTCTCAGAGGAAAACCGGGTCCGCCCCAGTCACCCAGGATATACCTGGCACAGCTCTAGTAGGCGGGCAGAGCCAGGCAATGTTAAAAGTGTTTTTGGAAGGAGGTTCATTTGACGATGGCGAGGCGGAAGAGGAGGACGAAGTGGAGGGTGAAGGGGAAGGCAGTGACGGATTTGAAGTCATTCAAAAGAAAAAGAAGGCTATCACTCCCCTTTCTCTCGTCATGAAGGCTATCAAGCACCAAGCGTATGATATGCTTAAAGTGGTTGATTAGAAGCTTGGCTATTGTTATTTTTATACCATCATGACTTTTCGTCTCGATTTGACGTAACAAGCGACATCCCATGACTAACCATAGTTTTAACGAAGGATATGAATGCAGCATAAAATAATATATTTTTCTTTTCATTTTCCATTCTTTGTTTGTTTATAATAAGGGGGAGAACATTTAGCTACATAGCAAGTAATTTAGCAAGTAGTTACAATGTATGTTTCTGTAGCTGTTCCGTATAAGAACTTAGCGTTGACACTCAAGAACGACGACGTCCATGGTGCTTGTGATGACGGCGGCGTCTCTCATCATCATCATCGTCGTCGTCATCGTCGTCGTCGTCACTGTCTTTTTTATAGCGTCTCTCGTATCCGTCGTCGCGACCATGATCTCTCTCTCGACTGCTGCGGCGGCGCTCGTCTGTTCCATAATGGGAGCTTTCATAATTTCGCGATCCACGACCATAATCGTCGTCATCTCTGCGGGAATATCTAGACTGTTCCTCGTAGCGGCCAGACGAATACTGATGCTCCCTTTGAGATGCCCTTGAGCCCTGGTCGTCATAGCGGCTTGCAGAGTAACCGTGCTCTCGCTGAGAATGTTTGCTCTCTCGGTCTCCATAACGGTCAGAAGAGCCAGAGTATTCTTGAGCCTCGCCGTAGTACTCGCTAGCTAACCCTCCAGGTCTACTAGATTGATCATGCCTAGCTTCATAGGTCCTAAAGAACGAAAACTGATCAGTATGTGCGCCATAAAGAACTTAGTGTATCAATAGAAAAACCTTTGCTCGCCATAATCCTCTCGTCTAGTATTCCCGCCGCCATAGTCTTGGCCGTATCTTGTCTCCGATGGCTGATTATACCTGCCAGATTGACCATAACCAGATTGACGGCCCTCATATCCAGATTGTTCATATCTAGATTGCTGGTGTCCTCCTTGTTCGTAGCCTCCTTGCTGATGTCCTCCTCCATATTGGTATCCCCCTTGTTCATATCCCCCCGCTTCTTGCTGCTGGTATCTAGAAGGTTGCTGATATCCCCCAGACTGATGGTGGCTGGGTTGATCATGCTTTTGATGATGCCCGCCATGACTACCATAGTCCTGACGACCATGGTTGTTTTTAGAATGATCTTCCTCAAGGGCCTGCCCAAGGGCACCTGCAAGACCACCCACCAACCCACCAATTGCACCTCCGCCAACGGCTTCTTCTGCAAGCTTGCTTAATTCGTTTGCCTGGCGTCCTCGACCGTAACCACCACTGGCACCATGCCCGTGAGGCTTTTTAGACAGCTTTAGAGGCACACCACTTCCATGGCCACAGTCATGGACACCTGGTTTATGGTTCTCTCCTTTCATAACCCCCTCTCGACTTAATTGTCTTCTGACCCCATCATCGCCCTTTTCTTGCCACCATTCTTCAACTGCACCGAACATCATTCGACGGACATCTGCAGCTCCATCATCGCCGAAATCTCGGTGAGCGGGGTGATGGAAAACACCGGTAATGATCCTGTTTAATGTGCGGCTCGCATCAACATTCGTATCATCCCAGCACTCCATTATCTGAGGGACAACCCATTTAACTACTTCCTGAGCAATCTTACCCGCCGGTTCGTTCAGCAGGTTGGAGAAATGATCCTTTGACAACATAGAGTGAGTAGGATCACTTGCGTCATCGTCATTGAAGATATTGAGCTGTTCCTTCTTGCTGCTTTGGATAATTTCGGAAGAGCCAGTTTCCAACTCTGCTTTCACTTGATTGATGATTGGTAATACGTAGGGAGCAAGGACACTAAAAACGAAAACGTTAATCTGTTCTTGAATCTGCTCAATCAACTCTGGAAGAACGGGAATGTTTTCAATGGCTTTGTTGATTGACTTTAGGATGTTGTCGTGCCATTCTAGAACAGGGTATATCTGTCGGGTAACATCTTGAAGGTAGCGAGTCCACTCTTCAGGTTCGTGTGGTGTAATATTTTCTTGCTGTGCCTGGGCTTGTGCATTGCTCTGGAATTCGTCCATCTTTCCTGACTCGTTTCCACCGATAATGCCTGAAGGAATTTTAGCTAATAGCTCTTGGAGGAAGCTTTTAGTATTGCTTTGGTTTTGAGTTTCCTCAATAGCACCCTCGAGGCATTGAATCTCAGATTGTGTTGTTTTGTCAGAGAATTCTCCCATGACTGAGTGAAGAAAGTCCACTCCGCCAAAAGTTCCAGTAACAATTGGATAAACATCGTGCCGACACCCAGGAAGCTGGATCATAGTATTGCGACCAACATGGGGAAATACGTCTCGTTCACCCATCTCAATCAGACTCAATTCCGTATAGTTTGAATGAGCGGCGTAGTCCTCCAAGCAGTGTAGGCCGGTACCCAGCAAGCGAAGAGCTTCGTAGAGATCTGCCTTTTTACCTGAACGCGCATACTGTCTACCGAGCTCGATGCAGTCTCCAAGAACTCTCCTAACTAGACCAGCCGAGGTATCAATTCCGATGTCCTCAGTAGCAATGTAGTGTTTCAGACCTATTAAATATCAGTCAACTCCATAATGGCCTAATTAGGAAAGCTAGTCTTATCCGTACCAGTTCGTTCATCAACAGATAGTTCCCGTCGTTTATCCACCGGTCCGCGTAGACGAGGGTCATAACGCCTTGCATCGGCCCCATCGGCGTATCCTAGCGGATTATCAATGTGCTCAGTGGGTTGGTAGCATCCAAGACGGTCAGTAGTGACTTCGAACTCGTCAACACCATATCTTGATGGAACGATCATTGTCAGTTAAGAGGTATATTTACGTGTCTAACAATGAAACAACAAACATACCCAAAGGTTAAAAAGCCCAGAATCCAGATGAGGATACGAACGGCCTCAGCACTGACGTGTTTTACAGAACCAACATCCACAGCCTGACTGTAGTCTCGAAGCCAGTTACCGAAGTAGACGTGCATCACATCCATCTTGGAAAACTTTCGGCCACCAGCAGCGCGAGCCATGTACAAAGTCAACAGGACATCTTCGATATCTCCGTGACGGAAGTTGACACCCTCGATTTTTGAGATGGAGGCAATGTTACCGGCTCCAAACGCAGCTGTCGGACTCGCAAAGACAAGGAAAAGAAGGGCAGTGGTGAGAATCAGCGGGCTGAGAGAAGTAGAAGAAGCCATGAGGGGCACTCTGCGGCTGTGTCGGTGTCTCTCTGTCTGGGGATCTATGGAAGGGTCTCACTGTCAGCTGTCGGTCTACCCAGTGTCTTTGTAGTGCTAAGATGCTGAGAGGCTAGTAGGGAGTTTCTGTAACCAGAATAATATATAAAACTAGGTAGCTGTCAAGCCGAACATGCGGGGGGAGGGGTGAGCAGGTCAAGCCAACCTAGAGGAGAACGAGTCGACCGCTGTCGAATAACTAGTAGACCGTCTTGAATTTTAACGAGTGTTGGTGCCTGGCGAACCCGTGGTCCTCTGCAGCGATGGTGAGATATCCTTGCCCCTAGAGGTCTTGTTCCAGGAAATAGAAGAAGTAAACATTCACTTCAGGCGTTTTGAGAATGTTTTCTTTGCCCCGCGAAACATAATGGAGCTTCGTTGCCGAGATCACGTTGTCGCGGACCCATGAACACGATCGAGACAGAGACCTGGGAACTAACTACAAGGGAAGGCTATGAGGAAAGATTTAGTGGATAGATATACTTAGCTTCAACGCAGCAGCACGATAAAGGTCGCCTCGAGTCCCTTCATGCGCTCAAGATATGCGTTGAGCTCGGTATCGTCACTAATAACTACTGGATGCTGCTGGCTACGGCTACGGTCGGCCGTATCAATGCCTTCAATTTTCACTACCTCCTGTGCATTCTTGATTCGGGATAAGATGGTGCTGCGCAATTCAGCTACAGACGGAACTGTGAGCTTATCAATCCACGGATCGGGGTCTTCGAGACACGGTGCAGAAGACTGTGGGTGTATGTGGAAGTACAAGGGCCTCGGGTTCACTGGAGCGTGAAGGCTCGGGTCAATGTAACTGAGAGCATGCGAGACGGCAGTGACAGTGGCTGTGACAGGCTCGTGGTTTGAGTCCGCTGTCCGGGAAGAAGGGCCGTCTGTGGCGGCTTGGAGTAGAGAAGGATTGACCTGTGTATCATCCACTTCGCCAGGCGGAACGGTAGGCGCACTCGCAAGAGCTTCAGATGCAAGTGTACTGATGCGGTTCGGGATGCAAGTGACTGTAGACCTGGATGATGTTGACGTTGGAGGCGGTTCCTGACTAGACGATGGCTTTGGCGTACTGGCTCCGGGATGCGGTCTCTTTCGGGAGGAATCACGTTTGATCTGGTCATCTCGGAGTCTTTTCATCACGTCTCGACAAAGCACCTCGACGGCCTTAAGTCTCGTTGCATGTTCAATATCTGTGGCGGGGGAGTTCAGGATATGCTGAAGGAGTTCGGATTCTCGGATCCACCGGTCCTTTAACTCCATCCACTGTTCATTGCCGGCTTCAAGCTTGCTGGTGATATGGCTCGCCTTGAGCACCTCGTAAAATGCGTTTCTAACCTGCCTGCTTTCCTCAGGGTTTATCCCGAGTGCATTTTTGGCCTCTGCAATTGTCATTCGTCGTTCCAGGGTGCGCATCCGTTTGGTAACGTCAGTGCAAACGACGTCAAGGGCTAAAGCTTTTGCATCGAGGAGGACGGGCTCACCCCAGAATACTGCCTGTAGGTGCGTGGACTCATTGATAAGCCTATCCTTCGCCATTTGCCATTTCTCAGGCCCGGCAAGGGTTTTCTTGATAAATCCGGCCTCCTCGCATATACGCTGGAATGCCTCCCGGACTCCACGATAACTGTCGTTATCCAGGCTCAGATACTTCTTGCTCTGGTCTATTGTCGTCTCTGATGGAAAGCGAGGAGGACCGGGAGGGTCTGGTGGTAGTCCTGCCCATTCACGAGTCCGCCTTCGACGTCTCTTGGTAGCCCATCTTTCCTCGCTTTCAGCTTTCAACTTCTCTAGTCTCTCCTTGCGCTTAGCAGCAACGTTCTCTGGCACATCGGAGGCAGCATGAAGGGCATCGGCATTGGTACTGGTACCGATACCACCACCCACACCGTCAGGTCGTTCTAGCATCTCTTTGCTACCATCTGTTGCTGCTACCTGCTTGTGTGCGTCTCTCTGAAGCCGTATCAGTTCATTCTCTAGCTGCTGTGCCTCATCGCCGGGAGCTGGTGAATCTGGGCCTGTTTCAGAAGTAGTAGTAGCGACAGTGGCAGGTCTCATGCCATTGGGAACCCGTAGTAGCCACCTATATTTGGCCCGTACTCTCATGACTTCGCGTTCCTTGACTTCGTATCCTTCTTCATTGAGAATGCGAATCATATCGCGCTGCGACGTATTGTTCTCCCATAGCTGCTTGATGCGCGCTACAAGCTCTGCTCTTTTATAGGCCGGATTCTGCTTTGAAGGAAATCCCCAGCGCTTGAACTGGGTCTGGAACGCTCGTTTACTACCAGCCTGTCAGCATAACTCTGCGTATCATTGAAATTTTACAGCAATCAGCCTCACCTCGGGGAGAACTGGTGGAATGCCCGCATGTACTCGATAATGTCCTCCAGCGGCTTCTTCTCCTCAATGTACATCCTGTAACAAATATCTCTCTTACCCTCCCAATCATACACCATTGTGGCGACTCGACGCCGGCGCCGGCGCCCTCCCTTGCGCCAGTTCTCGTCCTTAATATGCCCTCGCTCTGCCACTGTCCTCCTGCCCCCCTATCTCCCTGTCTTCCTGTTTCTCTGTCTCCCGGTTTGTCACTGGCTGGGCTGGTCGGGATGTGCAAAAAAAGCTGCGCTTTGCGGCAATCTCGTACGCCGTATGCAAATTCTGGTCTTCGACGCTCACCGTAGTTGGGATTATGTAATATACCGTGTGAATTCGACGATCACGGATGACGTCATCCCGGCGCTTATTTTTACTTGTCAAAATACACAAAAGCCTAAGTCAACATCGGCGAGATATAGAGAGGAGGAAAGATGGAGAAGAGCCAATTGATTCACTTGAAAGTGTCGACAGTATCGGAGGGAAAACGCCAGCAAGGCCCGCTATACATGCTCATACTTGACGAAACAAACAAAACACCAACGTAAGCGAGTAAAAATAGGGCAGGCCGCAAAAAAAAAAAGACACTCGGAATATGCAAGGAACAAAATCAGGGCTCGAATGCTGCTGGATCTCACCACCCTCATGGGAGATATCAAGAGGTGAGAGCAAAATGAAACAAAACAACGGGGAAGCAAGCGCCATCCAGGGACTGGTTGGGACGAAGCTCTGTGTGTTGAGCGCTGGTTGCTACTGATGCGCTTAGCAAGGGAGAGGGGCCATGGAACAAGGCAACAAGGAACAAACAGTAGAGGATAAGGGGCAAAAAACGAGGCTGAAACGAGCAAAATGTGCAAAAAACGATATCGTTTCCTTAGACCAAGCCCGTCCGGCAGACCCAGCTCTCAAAGTCATCTCATGAAAAGTAAAAACAAAAAGAACCACTAACAAGGTCGTCTCGGTGCGTTGCGGCGTTTGCATTTGTGAAAATGCTCTAGTTAGCCTACTTTCTTCAGCTTTTTTCCTATCTTGAATATCTTAGTGCGTAGCCAAGTGAGGAAGAGAACCCAGGCGCTCTTTGGGCTCTTTGGTTTCCATGTGATCTTAGTGGTGTCGTCAGCGGCATAAGAAGAAGTCGAGTTCTTCCTGCGGCTGTCTTTCTCACTCAGCTTTGAAGACCGGCGCAAGGTAAAGTCAGAGATGGACCGCCTTCCACCCGTGTAACTGTTGTATGAGTTTTCCCGCTCCAGCCGACGGAGACGGCGCTGCTCCTTATCGAGGGCTTTGGAATTCTGTTCATCACGTTTCCTATTTTTGGCGGCCTCCCTGTCCTCGAAGGCCTGACGAGCTGCCTGCACGGCTATGGCGCGGGCGGCGGGATCTACAGTGCTGGGGCGGCGGGATCTCGACCGCAATCCGAATTCTAATGAGTTCCTGGAGAGAGGGGCCGTGTCCCGGGGAGAAGGGCTGTTGTTGTTGTTGATGATGTTATTGTTATAATTATTGTTGAAGACACGACCGAAGGAAGTAGAGCGGGCCTTTGTAGGCGGGTGAGTAGTAGTAGTAGTCTCACTTTCTATTTGGATAGAACTCCGAGGTTCGTTGTAGATGCTGGGAGAAGGAGAGCCAGGGAAGAGGTCCTGGCTGGTGGGAACAGGGTCGTCAAAGTCTGTCACACGCTGTATGCCCTCAAGGTGCGAGTCGGTGCTGGCAGTGGCAGAGATCTGATTTGATAGTCCCAGCGGTGGCGTGTAAGGACGGGGAGTCTGGCGCATGGGATGGACATACTGGCCACCGGGCCGAGGAAGACTTCCGAACGAGAGTTGGGATGCACCGCTGGCCGAACGGTAGTGACGGGCGACGCCGAGAGAGCCAGTTGTAGAGCAGTCGTCGGCACCGCGGTCCCTGCCGCCCAGGCTGTTGTATATTCCCAGGCCGTTGTTCTCGCTGAGGGAGACAGACAGATCTATGCCGGTACCGGAACGTTTTCGGTGGGGGATACCTATCCTGCCGAGGGACGACATGGTCTGAGAGGACGAGTCTGAGCAGCGAGAGAGCTTGCGAGCACCGTATCCGTGTGCATGGGTCTTGTATTGAGGGCGTTGAGGCAGCGACGAGTCGAGGCGTGTGGAGGATGAAGCAGCTAAGACAGCACCGCCATGCGAGCAGGACGAAGTAGCAGAAGAGACAGCAGCGCCGCCCGGGACGTCGACGTCATCGTGGTCGCAGGCAAACTGTGGAAAGGCGGCTGGTTCCTGTGGTTTACTATGGCAACGAATATTAAGCGAAAAAGGTTCGAATGTCAGCGATAACAGACTTCGGCAGGTGAAGATGGACGACGGGATATAACAACAGGAGAGAGAGACGGGGAGACGGAGAGACGGAGGGGAAAGACAGAGAGAGCGACGGAGCGCAAACGAACCTTGCCACGACTCCTACAGCGGCCGCCTTCCTGAGCCTTGTCATTATCTGGCTGGAGACGAGAGGCTCGACGGGTTCAGCTATGGGGACCTTCGTTCTCATCGACTGCGGCCGTCCTGGCTGAGCGTTGCTGGCTGGGCTGTCTGTCTCGCGGTCTCCCGAGCGATGCAGCGCCCCGGACAGCGGCAGTGCGATCACTCAGCCGGGTCCAGTGGCTATAATGGGTGTCTATGGTATGAAACAAGCATGTTCAAGTCGTCTTCGGCAGTGATATATATGTGTGGTTGGGCGTGTTGTTGGGGCCGTCGTTGTGGCCGTGGGCGCCCGGGGCTTAACTCGTTACTCTAGGTAGTTAGATACAAACAACGACAAGCCCGGTGCAACAGCAACGAGAGAGAGAGAGAGAGAAGACCGCCTCTTCGACAGGCTGGCGGGCTCTGACAGGTGTCACAGGAGGAGACAGAGAGGAGGCAGAGAGGAGACAGCGAGGGTGGAGGAAGCGAAGCGGCGGAGAGAAAAGGCCGGCGTGATCAGTTCGACATAACTACTGTACAATCCGTGTCGCCCGCCTGGGTGTGTTTGGGATCCTCTCGCGGTGCCGAGGAGGGTTTTCTTCATGGTAGTTAACTCGCTCCTACGACGACGAAGGACACGGACTGGCAGGCTCAACTACTACTAGTTATACACAGCTAATTAGATGTATGCAGCCGACGACGGGTCTCACATGCGGCCTGCTCTGGGTGGCGCCTCTCCCCCCTCCCGCCGAGGAATCGCATTTCTGCGCCTTGCATGCAGAGCAGGCTGGACGGGCCACCCACAGGACGAGCAGCGGACGACGCAGAAGGGAATCAGAGCGACGGAACTGCTCCTCGCTTTCTCCCTTGCTAGCTGGCTATCGTACAGGCCGGAGGGGGAACGTAACTAAAGGATGTACTGTAACTCGCTACATGTCAGCCAGTGGATGCCCGGCAACGACACAGCAGACGGCCGGACAGCAGGCCGGGCAGGCCGGGGACCCAAGTCGGAGATGCATCCCAAGGGCAGGGAGAAGAGGCCTGGAACCCACTGCCGTCGCCACAGCGGCAGGGCTGGCCTCTGGACAGACATCGACTATACTTAGTTGTACACCTAACACATTAACTACTCGACTCAGGCAGGCCAGGAGAGGACACGGACAGCCCTATGAATCAGACAGACAGGTGGGCGGCTTCGAGAAAGCGACTGCTGGCCACTCGCGGTACACCCTCTGCTGCGTCTGGCCTCGCAGGAAAGGGGCTGTTCACTGCATCCCGGAAGAAGAAAAGAAAGACAGCGGCATTGACTACTTTATATACTGAAAGCACTTATATCTATAGTCGGATGGCTATGTACAGAGCGGCTACTTGGTCGATCCATAACCAACGGTTGACTTACAGAGTCACCCGGAAGACAAGCACCTGGGTGTCGACGTTGAAGCCGGACTTGTCTGCGTACTTGAACTTGCCGAAGTTCAGATGGCCTGGTTCATGGTCAGTCAGTCGGTATAATTAAATAAGTCACCCGAAGGCAGAAGAGAAGAAGAGAAGAAGACGTACCGTCCTGGGTGATGTAGTCGTTGTCGCTAAAGGAGATCAAAAAGTACTCATTCTTGCCGTCGTCCTCAAACTCCTTGGACGGATCGACTGGGACAAGGGCAAGGCTCTCCCACTTCTCGTTTAGTAGATGCTCGTCCTGCGCGCCGCCGTTGTGCAGCCGGAACTTGCCCAGCTCGGAGTTGAGGTTGTAGTCTACGAACGAGCAGTAGTCCAGCGGGTTGATGCCGTCGTCCAGCACGCCTTCGCTCGAGGCAATCGAGCCGTCCGCCTTGTCGTTGCTCTTCGACTTGATGTCCGTTGTCTGGGCCGACTTGGAGATGATGTCGGCATGGCGGTAGACGGACTCGGTGTACTCGGCCGCCCGGCCTGCGTTGCTGTCTCGGGACAGAATGAGAAAATCGCCCGTTGGTAGATAGTGGATCTCGGACTGCGAGGCCGTGATGGTCACCTTGCTTGGATCTTGCTCGTGCGGGTCGACAAAGGTCGCCAGCGTCACCACGTACTCGTGGGTGTACTTGGGCGTGGTTCCGGAGATGTCATACTCCAGCATGCGGGCCTGCTTTCTGTACCGTTTCTTCGGGCCGCCGTCGTTGTTCAGCGCAGACTGGAGTAGCACGTACAGCGTCTTACCGTCTCGCGAGATGGCCAGTCCTTCGAAGCCCTGGTTGTTGTTGCGTCCTGTCTCGGGGTCCTCTGGGTCCGTCTGGCGATCAGGCTCGTAGATTGGAGGGGAGGCGGCGCTGAAGCTGACCTTGCCGTTTCGACGGGGGATGTACGCATCTGGAGGCTGGATGGCCTGCAGCATGCGGCCTTCCCGCGAGAACTTGTACACATAGGGGCCATACTCGTCAGAGACCCAGAATGCACCGTCGTTGCCAATCACAATGCCCTCGGAGTCCAACGAGATGCGTCGTCCGCCTGCGCCGCTGCCGCCGAATCCATCTCCAGGGTAAGTAGCCACTGGCATTCCGGGGAAGCCTGGGTAGCTGATGTTGCCAGAGAAGTCAGCATCCAGCCCGGTCATCGGAGTGCCGTCTGGACCTGTCAGCAGCAGCGTGTCCAGGAGCTTGATCTCAAGATTGGGGTCGGATGGGTTGGAGACGGTGGCACTGGGTGCCAGAGTCAGCTTCAGGCTGAGCTTCTGGATACGGCTCTGCACGTTCAGCGTGCCCTGCGTGTTCCTGTAGTTTTTCGTTAGCCAATAACTATGTTCTTATTCTTTCCGTAGTACTTTTGTTGACGTACCAGCCGCGGTCGGGGATAGCCCAGGCAATACCCTCATAGGTACCATCTGAGTTCTTCTTCCACGATGCCTGCTCAATAGCGATAGAGCTTCCAAAACCCCCAAGGGTATCTCCGTACTTGTCAACAGCATTCGATGGGACAGTGCCGTATCCAACGAGGCCGTTGTACTGGTATGTATGTGAACCACACTTGGTCTGCTTGACAATGGGTAAAGACGTCTCCGAGCGATGGCCTTTCTTTGGCAAGCCATTGACCGTAGTGGCCAACAGGCCGGAGACAGCGCACAGCGAATATATCAACGATGACACCATGATGATGGACACGACACAGCTTGTTCCTCAATTGAGTAGTAGCTGTCTATGGCAGGTTCATCGTCCGGGGAAGACGAGCTCGTCGTTATATATTTGGCCAGCCGCTTCCGATCTGCCTTGAGCAGGACAGCAAGCAAGCGAGCTCTCAAGCTCTCGCCCGCCAATAATAATAGTGAATGCGATCGATCTCCCCTCCTCCTCGGCCCTGATCGTCGACCCATGCTGGCTGCCGGTGCTGCCGCCTCGCACAGTGGCAAGGCTCCTCACGACTCCGGCGGCAGCGCAAGGACCAGACAAGCATTTTGCCCTTAAGCTAGCGAGTCAGCGGCCGAAGATGGGACCCGACTGTGCTTGTCCGAGGCGTTTTTATAAAGCCAGAATGTCGACAGCGAGCAAGGTGGATAATCCGGGGATGCCTTGATGCAGGTCGTGCGATGCTTGACAAGCGCCATTGGGCCGACTCGTTAACTAGTTAACTCACCTCACCAAAGACCGTCCGTCCCCAGGGAGAGTGAAAAAAAGAAAAGAAAAGAAAAGGGGAGCGACTTCAAAGCCGAAGCCCCGTCTTTTGTTTCTTATACATATATGCACGTAACATTCAATAAGAACTACTCCGTATTCTCTGTGGATTGTTTGTGGTCTCCTGCGGTTTTGGACTGGGGTGAGCCGCGGTTGCTGGCTCCTCAACAAGTAGTTAACTAACTAGTTAACGGATAACGAGTGTAGTTCAACCGGGGTCAACTAAGTCACTAACTTGGAGAACCATTGCTTTTTGGATATTATTGGGCTGTTTTGTCTGACTGACCGGTAAACTAGATACAAAGCTGTCTGTGTGGTAGAAGCAAGGTCAGGGCCATCATACCACTGGCTATTTATCAAGATTAGGAGATTAATCTCTGGCCTATTCCCAGGTAGTTGGAACTTGCGGGAACTGCTTTGCGCTGAGCCCCAGATCTTCGAAAACTTTATCGCTGTCTATATTACCATTGAATTAATTTTAAGCAGTTTGTTAGCAGGCCTTGCAAGGGAAAACGATATATTCAAACAAACACAAAGAAAATCCAACGTTCTAGGGAGCAAGGTCGGGCAGACCCCTGCAAAATCTATGACTAGGGAACAAGGGTAAGCTTACCGTTCAGCGCTTCAGCACGTATTTCATCCTCACCCTCAAGATGCTCGAGTTCCTCACCTGCATCCTCCTGTCCCGGGGCTTTTTCTTCGGTCTTACCTCCCTTGCCCAGGTGGCCTTGCGCTTCGCCTAGCATCATAAACTGTGCATTCGGATAATCAATGAATTTCGGTTTAAGAGGAACCCAGCGGAGGTCGCGGAAGTCATCTATCACACTGCAAGAAGAAATCATAAAAAAAAAAAAAAAAAGAGAGCAAGGCGTCAGATTTATCTATGCAATGAGCAGCGAGGAGAAACGAGCGTGGACTGACCTTTGTGGATAGTCTGGGGGCTTTGGCAGCCTTGCACTGGATGGGCCAGGGTACTTGGGATTCTTCGAGGCCACAATGAAAGAGCCTTTCTCTCTTAAACCAAAATCTTTCTGAACCTGGGATAACTCAGTTGGTATTGTCAAAATATACGCCAAGTGTGAGGTTCTCGTGGTCGAAGTGAGTGCATAAACGCCTTCGGCTAACGGGGTAGCAGTAGGCGAAAATCGCGTGCCTTTCGTCTTGGTCTCATATTCTTCACCCAAAAACGATTCTTTCAGGGTCTTCAGATCGACCCCAGCTTTCTCAACGAACCCCATGTACTTCTCATGGCTTGACGTGGGAACCGTCTTCTTAGGCAACAAGAGAAGTCGACAGTTGTTTTCATCCCCGGCAAGCCCGGCACTAAGGTTAGCTCCAATGGGCTGAGGGCGGAGAACAATAAAGGTACGGGCAACTTCGTCGACACCTTTTGGTT